GCAGCAAAATGAAGCCCGCCATTAAAACGGCCATACTACTTCTAACGCTCCTAACGCTCGCTGGATTAGTTCAGCCCCGAATTTTGCCTCAAGGTAAGTAACGAAATTGCACATCTTTTATCTCATTTTTATTGAACCTCAAGAAATAATCTCTCTCTCTCTCGAGAAAACAACGTTATGGTGGTTTCATCTGCATGAAAGAACTTGAAGTTAGGGATTTAGATTTCCTCCATAATTTGATTTTTTTTTCTTCTCTCTATTTTCCTTTTCCATTGACCATTTATTTATTTATCAATCTTTGTGATCATGCAGATTACACAAATAACCACTCAAGTCGGATGCGATTGCTCACAAGTGCTTCACTCAAGCATTCGGCATCACATTCGGTGGCCGAAACCATCTGCCGATGGCTCGGTTATTGGGCTGCGGATGAGATAAAATTTGTATGCAATGGGCTTGTAAAAAGGGAGATTGATGATCTTGGGAGAAACCCAAGGCCCGGGCCTCCAGCCCCGCGAGCCGGACCCGGTTCTCGACCCTAATTGGCTGCTTATTGACACATGATAGTTAGTTAAAGGGAATTAACAAGAGATATGAGGATAATTAGATGTGAGGTTTTAAGCTAAAAAGCACATTATAGCAACTAGGCCTGTGATGGTTTATACCTATTTTGTCGTTTTTTTATGGGGAAGGAATCTCAATATGTAGCATCATTCACGCGTTGACTATTTTTTTTGCATTAGTTTATGAAGTAGCTTTATTTTTACTTATTTATTATTTTTTTGGTACAGCCAATAAAGCTTATTGTCTGTCCCACCCCGTCGGCTGTGGCGTTCATGCGTTAGTAAGGAGTAAGGACACTCGCATATTAGTCGATACGAAAATTTGCATTAGATCAGTTGAACCGGAAACACAACGAACGCACATTGACCTCGAGCTCCAGTGACCGGAAAAACCTCCGACGCTTAAGTCAGTACTTGCTCTTGAGAACAATCGGTAAAATAACAGGCTTAAGTGCGTAAAATAAGAAAATCGCAATTTTAGTTCAGTAGCTTAGACCGTTTCCCATTTTAGTCCAATAATTTAGTACGGTCTAAAATTGGTCCTAAACTTCGAAATTTTAGCCGATTTAGTCCTATTTCGATCCCGATCACCGGATTCTAATTAGAAGTTGCTGAGTTAGCAAATTTCGGCAACGACTAGACTGATATGGACCGATTTCCAGTCGATTAACTGATGTGGACTCCATATTTTTTTTTCACTTAATATCCTTTAAATAATTTAAATAATTTCAATTGTAAGATTAAAACCGATCCCCAAAATAATCTAGCCTCAAAATCTAACCCCTAATCTCAAAACTATTTTTTCATTTTCAGAATTTGAAACAAAATTCCCAATTTCTCAGAGTTTCAAAACAAAGTAAGAACTTTAATCACAAATTAAAATCCGTCAACGTTGACATGATAGACTTTCGTGATTTGTTGAACCCAAGCCATACCCCATTGAAAATGGTGATGTTCAGAAACCCGCTTCACGCTGGTCTACCCCCCTCCCCCTGTGTATTTTAAGTATAATTTTTTGCCACATAGATTCCGAAGCGTGAGAATCTGCCACTTAGGCTCAACGCATTTTGCAATTATATATAGGAGGAATAATAATAATAATAATAATAATAATAATAATAATAATAATAATAATAATAATAATAATAAAGTTCATAAAAAATATAATTTAAATATTCGGGTTTTACACATAATATAACTTTTCATACAACAGAGAATAAACTNAAACTATAACATGACTTATCTAAAACATGAAAAGTTGTACTAAATATTAGAATGGGAAGAGTAATCTATGATTATTTATTCTTAAGCAAGTTCAGGATAACTCTCTCAAGACGGAAACAAGCCAACCGACAGTTGATGTGTGGTTTTTAACTTATGCCAATGAGGATATTACTGTAAAGCAGTAAAGGAGCCATATATTTTGAGTGTAGGGAAAATGCCTACACTGAGCCTAATAAGAAGGCTCATCCCTTGGACGTACGTACCTGGAAGGAAATCTGCATTATAGCGCTTTTGTGCCCAAGAGAATCTACAGGAATTGATTCCAACACAACTAGTTAACAAGAGAAGGGAAAATGTCGAAACTTTTCATGTACGTCTTGTTTATGTTGTAAAACATGGAAATATGTCTAAAGAAAAACCGGTTGTAGTTTGGCTCAAGCGTATAACTGAGTATCTGAAAGGTTAAACATGAAAAAGGAGAAACTCACAGTGTTCCACCCCCCAATGGACCAACTGCTTTGAAAAGCGACATCATGGTCATGGCTATGCCGTTCGCGGCCCCTCTTTCGTGTTGATCCTTTAATTCAGATGAAATTGTTTATATGGATGCTCGATAAAAGTGCCTTCAGAGAAGAAATACCCCAAAAAAAAAAAAAATTAAAAGAATAAAGAATTACCACAGCTCTATTTTGTAAGATGAACAGCCCCGTCACAATGGAGATCTGGGTATAGCATAGAAAAATTTACATATACAGAAATGTGCTGAATCTGATCAGATATTTGAAATGGAAGTATTTCCAAATTATCTGCAAAAAAAGGTTGTACTTTCAAAAAGTTCTGGTTGAGCAAATATCAATCGATACAGAAGAAGAACAAGTATGGCATATCATAGATGCACAATTAGCTGAACGACTATGATTAAAAAAAAATCACTTACAGAGAAAACATTCTTTAGTAGAGATGCACAGTTCAACACAATGGAGAGCGTTAACCCGGATAACATGGCTATATAGTGGTAACTTGTTAAGAGAGGAATTGTGAGGATCTGCATTCAGCACAGAATCCCAGAATAATTAAATACATAGTTGTAGACCATAACCATGCTGCTTCTCGAGTTTAAAGTTCTTACTGCTAAAATTCGAGAAAGTAGGATAGGACCGATGATTTTCTCCACCACTGGGTATAACGAAGATTGAAAGACCAACAGGCCAACTCCTAAAATCCCAACAACCATCA